CTGGAAAAGGGCAAGAGCTTTTATTTGGAAATTGCAGTATCCCCTTGTTTTCCTTAAAAATTAAGCTTGAAATTTTATTATGCCTGTTTGTGTGGGTAGATATACCTCAACCTGTTGTAAATTCCTGTGTGGTCCACAGCTTCTCATGCAGTTATCATTGTTTCCTTGCTATCTAGAGTTTAACAGCTCTCTCCTGGACAGCGTTGGCTCTGATGAAGACTCTGGAAATGAGGATGTTCTGGACATGGAGTATTCAGAAGCTGAAGCAGAAGAGCTGAAAAGAAATGCTGAGGTGTGATCCATGATTTCAAAAGCCAGATGAGAAATATAGTTATTCTTTATAGTCTTGACAGTAGTTTTACAGAGCAGGTGTAGAGGCTAGAAAGGTATTTTATATTCTAAAGTGAAAACATAGAAAATTTCTATATGCAAGTCTTACTGTGTTAATTACAAAAAAAAAAAAAAAAAAAAAACAACCCAAACCAAAGCAAACAAAACCCAAATAAAAAAAAATTTAAATCAGCTGCAGAAACCTTCTTAGTTTCTCTAAGATACGCTCTTTAACAGTGTTGTCAGTGAATTCTAGAAGTAACATTTCCTGGTCAAGAGAGTATTAAAAAGTAAATTGTCAAAAGCCATTGAATAGAAAGAGCATGTTTCCTGTATGTAAAGAGTGTGTTGTCCACTGACATTACAGGTGCAGGACTACATATCCAGTATTAGCTGTTGAATCTCTGTACTGTTATTAATGGTATGTCTTTGATATTTCAGAAGTAAGCTTGGTGCTCTTTTTTGGCTTTTCTGTTTATTTGCTGGATTAATTCTGACATCAGTGGAAGTTGCTCAGGAAATGGTTGTTTAGAAAACTTTGCAGTGTAGAGCTCATGTCAGCATCTGTTCTGAGGTCAGAGAGGCTCCTTGGCATGCTCATTGGCTTGCTGATAGATTAAATACACATTTCCCACTTCTGGAAGGACTCCTTATTTGGTGTGAACCAGGGTGTCTGTTTCTGTAATCCTTCATTGGTTTGCAGCTTTGAATACAAAAGCTGGTATCTCAGGTATAATACATCTTGTCCATAAGCTATGTGGGGGTGAAAAAAGAATGCCTGAAAGCTTTAATTGTACTTCTTTTTTTCCCCCAGACAGGAGAGCTGCCTCACTCTTACCGTCTCATCAGCATCGTCAGCCATATTGGAAGCACATCATCTTCAGGTAAAAGATGCCACACTTTATTCTTCATCACTTACCTACTTGAAAAATTTGTAATACAGAATTACCATAGCATAATTATTTATAGGGAAGAATTCAGCCAGCAAAGCAAATCTTCTGTCATGACTTGCTAATGGGGGAGCAGGGTGGGGATATCACAGTGCCTGACAGTGGCATGCAGGAAATGTACAGCTTATGGGCTCTGTAGAATTGCTTGTGCTTGTTACCAGCTGATTGAGGGACCAGGATCTTAAGGGTCTTTTAGCATTTAAGTCTGACATAGGTGGCTGGACCAGGGTACCTAGCTAACCAGCTCACTGGCTGAAGTGTAGCATGGAAAGATGTGCAGAGAAGTTGTGTCTGCCCCATTGCCAGAAGTGTTCAAAGCCAGGCTGGATAAAGCTCTGGGCAGCCTGGTGTAGTGGAATGTGTCCCTGCCCATGGCAGGCAGCTTGGAACAGGATGACCTTTGAGGTCCCTTCCAACTCAAACCTTTCTGTGATTTTGTTGTTAAGGTCATTATATCAGTGATGTCTATGATATCAAGAAGCAGTCCTGGTTCACCTACAATGACCTGGAAGTCTCTAGAACTCTAGAGACCACCGTTCAGTGTGACAGAGACCGAAGCGGATACATCTTCTTCTACATGCACAAGTAGGTGTCTTGGGGAATGCTGGTCCTAGAAATTACCTGCTGCTTGTGAGGAAGGGGGCTTCTCTTCTTCCTCTGGTCCTCTGCTGGGATGAAAATGTCTCCAGAATGACAAAATTTAAGTGCTCAGAGTTCAGAGGTGTGGGATTGTATGTCAATAATAAATAGTGTTTTAACAAATACATTAAATTGTATTTTAAGAATGGGATTCAGTGTCTCAGTGCATGTGTTACACCAGGAATCATAATGGAGCTTGGATCTTTCCCTTAAGTGCTGTGATATTTGTAAATGCTCCTGCTCCTAAGTTGTGTTGTTGCAGCCATGGTCCTCTCATGACACAGCCAAAATGAGGTTTGTAGGTAGAAACGTTTTCAGACACACAGAACTGAAGAAGGTTTGTGTCCCCGTCTTGTGTGCTGCTGCTTGGCGATGTCAGATTAGACATCTCTCTTTGCCAGAATTTGTAATGCTTGAGTTTGTGGAGTAAATCCAGTTGCTGATTCCCTCAGGGCTGTCTTATGTAATGATTTGTTGTTGTACAAAATTTTCACTGTTGGTCTTTCCTTCTGTTCTAGAGATATCTTCGATGAATTACTAGAAGCAGAAAAAAATGCACAGCCACTTAGCATGGAAGTAGGAAGATCAGTTCGTCAGCCTCTGTGAAGAGTAAAACACCTTGTTCCTCCTGAGGAGCAAGGAAGATTCTGAACTTGTGCCAGCCACGCAGGAGTAACAAACAGCTCAGGGCCAAAACATGAGACAAAAGATAGAAATATGGGACGCTCGGTTTATTGAATCATCTGTGCAAGTCCTGGGCCTGAACTTTGTGTTTAAACCTTGACATCCAGAGCGACCCTCCCGTGGTGAAATTTTCAATGTTTCTCAAATGATTTTGTCAGCATGGAGCCTTAAAGAGTTTTAACAAGCCACAAGACTACAGCTGCTCATAAACTGGTTTAAAAAATAGTGCAAAAAGAGACTCGACTTTAAAAGCCCATTCACCTGCAAGACGTGAGTGGCGAAGATTTACATATCACTTGGCGCTTTTGTTTCTTTTCTTCAAGAGCAATTTAAGCAATAGACTGTAACCTGGCGTTTGTTGTGTTAGTAATATTCACTGGAAAGCCAGATCACTGAGCAGGCTCTTGCCAGTCATCTGACTAACAGGCATTTTGGAATCACTCAAGCTGATGCGTTGTGACATTCATGGGTTTGTAAGCACTCTGCGATTTACGTGGGGTTCCAGGAAACAAACTGTCGGTGCTGTGGAATGTATTGATACCTGGTGGCAGCTCTGTTGTTTTTTTACACCATTCACTGTCATCTTCATTTAGGCGTGAGATTATATATGTGATTTCTTTTGTTTTACAAGTTCTGTTATTTGACTGCATTTTCTCCATGAGGTTGTTGCATCGGTGCCGTTTGGAGAGGCGAGGTCTCTCGTTGGGTGTGCTGTGTTTCACACTGGAGTTGTGTTGCTTAGGGCTGCTCCGATGTGACTCTGGGAGAGCCAGGTACCTGCAGCAAACAGAGCAGCCACAGTTCTGGGAGAGAAAGAATGTTCTGGAATTGCCCTTCCTGTGCAGCACCTGGCACTTGAACTGCTCTGTGGTCGAACCATGCTCTTGCCATGGTCTTGTGTTACCCCAGGGTAAGAGGCTTTGTACTGCAGTCATGTCTCCATTCTCTTTGAGGAGTGCAAGAGTGCTCAGACTGTGAAACTAAACCGGGTGGAAAGCTTTCAGAAGGCCCTTGTTCATCATTAACAGAACATGGTTAGGAAGAAGTGATGCTATCTGCTGGGTTTAGAAGCATGATGCTCCTTTTATAGCTTGTTTCAGCAGTGGTGGGAGAAGCCTCTTAAGTTCAATTTTTTTCAGCACCTTTGCACTAATTAAGCAGGGGCAGATGTTTCCTTTCACTGTCATTTACTCATTTCAGAGAAGTTGTTGCTGTAAGCAGAGTAGTTGCTCTTGTTTTGGCCTCTAGTTCTGATTTTTGCAGCCTGAGTTTTAGAGATTAAAGACTTCTTTAAGGGAAAAAAGGAAGAAAATCACCTTTTTTGCCATTGAGATAGTTTCTGAGTTTTTTAAACTATCATTAGGAGTTTCTCAGGAATAAATTGGCTGCAGCAAAGCAGACAAAACCATCGATGTAGGAGACAGCAGGCACTTCCACACTGGAGTTTATCTCGGCAGGGTGTGTCACTGCCCTCAGGGGCCTCTTCCCACTTGTGCTCAGCAGCAGCAAGTGACAGGTCGGTGTCCTCCCCACCCGAGCACTTGGGGGACCCTGGTGGGGTGGAGACTGACCTCCCTCCCTGTCCCCAGGTGGGACGAGCCCAGGGCCCTGGTCACGGTAGCATCTTCCTGGTCTCTGAGCCAGCAGCAAAGGCTGGGTTGTAGACATGCCAGAGCATTTATCTGGTGAGATGCAGCCCGAGGTGGGGGGGGGGGTGTTTATTTATTACAAAGCATTATACTTTTCTATTGTCAATACTAATTTTGGTCGAATTCTGGGTGACAGGAAGAGTTGGTGACATGAGAGTTGTCCTTTGAACTGATCGCCCTGTGAATGAGATGGACTGCTCCGTCCAGAGGGCAAACCTGTTTTCCCCAAGCACATCCTATGCTTGTGCTGTAAATAACTGGTATTCCTGTAGTATCAGAAGTCAGCTCTGCTTTTTTGGGTGGCAAGGTTGTTTTTACAAGGCGCTACACTCCAGTTAATTTATGATAAAAGCGAACATAGCCTGATTTTTCAGTGCCGTAATTTTTGTTTAAAACCAGTTTTGTTTGGATCAAGGTGCAAAAGCTGATGCTTGAAAACAGTGTTCCTTGTTTTCTGAAAAGTTCTTGCTTGTTATTCTAGTCATTAAGAATTTGCAGACATATACTATAATTTAAGCTTTTTTGTTTGGCATATGGCAGCTCAGTTGCACTTTCACCTGGGCAGGAGTGTCCACAGAGCCCCTTCCTTGCAGAAGCCAACTTTTTCCCTGCCCAAGAGCAGGGGGGAGGATGACAGGTGTGTAATTCTCAAGAGATGTGCTGCCCACCGGTTGTGTCATTCCCACTGCTCACGCTGTTGCAGCAGCAAGTGCAGTAAGCCCTTCCACGTGGGATACCTGTGCTTGGGTATAGGTAGGTGAAGCTTAGCTAAGGGCCCTGAAGGTGTATTAGCTCTTCCTCAGTTAAACATTTACCCACTTCTGAATCAACCTAGTTTAGTACAAGTGTGATTCATCACAGAACTCAAGGAACTCCCATCCCTCTGTTCCTTCTGTTGCTTCATTGTCTAGCTGCAATAATTTGGTCTCGATTTACACCCCTAATCTGAGAGGGGCAGAGCTTTCTTGTCACTGAACTGGAGCTTGTGTGCGGGTCCCTGGGGAGCCCTGGCCAGCAGGGCTGCACAAAGCATTTGCAAAGCAAGGACTTTATCCAGCTGTAGCAGCAGGGAGGAGAGTGCGGAGCTCTGCAGCACCTGTGGCCTCAGCCTGGCCTCGCCCCCTGCTCAGTGCAGCACAGATAAGATCGCCCGTGCATCTTCCTTCCTTCCCGTCCCGCATCTGAGGAAGGGCTGATTGCCAGCTCAGCACTTCCTGCTTCAATGGGGAACATCGTGGGGCTGGGAATAACTCATCTGCTTTGTTTTAATGGAGCTAATTATCCCTGTAATTGCCCGCCAAAGAGAGAAAAGGGGTGCAGGACCCCTGGCAGCTGCTGTCCATGTGGTTTGCAGCCTTGCCTCCTGCTGGCTTCTGCCTGCGCCCTGACTTTCTGTTCTTTACACTGTTGATGTGGAGCAGTGCTTTTCTCTGTGTTTTAGCAGACCTGTTCCTCTCTATTCTTTACAGTTTTTGCTCTTGGGTTCCCCCTGCCCATTTTTAAATGATGTGTAGATAGATTTTTGTGAAATTAAAACCTCTTTATTAACCCTCTACTGATTCGGAATCTTATTTCTGCTGGCTCTTGCTGGGCACTGCACCTCTGCCTCCCCTTTTGCATTGGGACTTTGCTCGGTTGCCTGGGAACATCCTGTGTGTGTTCAGTGCCCTTCTGCACATGTCCATCCTGGCCCCTCTGAGAGAGATATGGCCCCATGGGGGACACCTCAGTGCCTCTCAGCATCCTTCTAGAGCCCAAGTAGAAGGAAGATGCCCTCCGCCCCTCCTGGGTCCAAGGACAAGTGATCCCTGGTGTCTGTCCCCACAGGCACTGTCTCCTTATTTACCTTTGGTACCACACGTATTTACTGCAGTTCAGGCGATAAGGAGGGAGTGGCTCCAGCTGTATACTGGACCTTTAGCCCAGAGCTGCAGGATGGGAGAGTCCTGGCTCCCCGAGCATGCCCAGCCTGTGCATCACCTCTGAGCACAACGAGGTCAAAGGAAGGCCTCGGGGAAAAGGAGTTGAGGGTCCTGCCTTGTGCTGCTGGGGCCCAGTCAAGACCTGTGTGTCTCTGTGTGCCAGCTCTTAACCAAATAACCCCCACACCTGGGGCTGGCCCTTGGGGTTGGATGGGAGAGACCACAGCCCCGTCTTTCGAACTTATTTTATTTACTAAAGAGCTGGGATTGTCCCTGTGCCCAGGCTCCTGCCCTAGAAGAGTCCTTTGTCCTTCTTGAGATTCTGTTGTTTCCACAAGGGCAGGCTGCTGAAGGCAGAGCGGCTCATGCCAAAAACAGCCTTGAAGTCCGCATCGGAGAGGTGGTCCTGGGGCCAGAGAAAGGAGGCTGAGCTGAAGAACTGGGAGGGGCTTTCCCTGTCTCCCCCTCCAGCATCCCCCTGGCCTCATCTTACCTCCTTCCTGCTGGGATCTACGCCCCGGGGCAGGTCCTCGGCTGCGGTGTTCACCAGCACATCCAAGGGGAAGGTCTCCAGTTTGGTGGGGACAAGGGTGGTGGAGGCAGTGAAGACCTCTTGCCTGGATGTGAGCACCTGAGTGGGGGGTGCAGAGTCACATCAGGGCCTGGCCCAGGGATGGAGGCACCAGGCTGGCTCCAGGTGTCTGCTCACTGAGGATCTGTCCTCGCAGCTCCTCCTGTCACCTGCCAAGGGGTGGGTTTTCTGTGCCCCCACCCAGCCCAGCTGCCTTTCTCCTTGTGCCACTTACTGAGGTGAGCTGCCCGAGGCTGCTCTCATCGCCCAGCTCAGCTCTCAGCGTCTCGTAGGATTTCTTGTCCTGGGAAGGAGTCAAAAGTGCTCAGCCCCTCAGCATGCACAGGGGTCAGGCCAGCTGCTGCCCACACCCTGGAGCTGCTCCTGGGGCCAGACCCACATCTGGTCCTTTCTGCAAAGGGACTCCCTGGTTTTTCAAACCCTCCCCATGACTCACGTCCCAGTTGAGAGGGTCCCAGGCCAGGAACCAGCCGGTGAAGGTGGGGGGCTCATAACCCTGCTTCACCACAATGATGGGGGTGTCAAGGTCTCGCCCACTGGGGTGGCTCCGCAGGTACTCCTGTGCCATCACTGCTGCCGCCTCCTTCTCTGACTCATTGGCGCCTTTCCCAAGCCAGAGGAAAACCTGCAATAAAGTTACTGTGTCCACCACTGGGGTGAGATGGAGCCCTCTGGGGCCGTGGCTGGAGGCACATGGCCTCTGTCCATAGGGAAGGACTCTGGGAGTTCATTCCCTGGAACAAGAAGGCTGGAAAAAAGCATCGTGGGACCACATATAGGCAGGTTTCCAGCCTCCCATCCCACCAACTCTGGCTGATGCAGGTCCTCCAACCACAGGAATATCAACTTGTGGGATCAAAGATCTGTCCCGTGCTCCATGCTCCCCCAGCTCACCTGGTCCCAGGCATCTAGTAGGTAAACATCACTCTCCTCCAGGTCATCCTGGGTGAAGTCTATGATTTCTGTGGCCAAGAAGGTGCCTGTCTTGTTGGAGCACTCAAAGAGTCGGGGGGGCACAGAGGGGTTCTCCTCCTGCAGCCTGAGAGGGGTCAACGTGATGGGAATGAGACTCACCCTGCTTGGGGGCTGGTGGCCCATCTTACCCCTGGGCATGGGTAGGGACAAGACTGGTACCTCTTGCTACTGGCATATTGGGACTTGCCCCCCAGGGCCAGCCAGAACTCAGGTGGCTCCTGTCCTTCTGCAATCACTGGCTTCTCCAACTTGGAGATGATGTCAGCCACAGTCTTGGCCATCTCACGTTCATCCCCGCTGCAGCCCTGCCAGGCAAGCACAGCTGCTCCATCACTGGCCCAGGCCAAAGAGGAGGAAGAGGAGGTGGGGACAGTTGCCTTGGAGGTGGTGGCACCCACACCAGTGCCCAGCAGTACCCACCTTCCCATACCAGAGGTAGCAGCAGCTGGGGGTTTTGAGCACAAAGACATCATTGGAGTTGAGGGAGGAGGCGCGGACAGGCACCTCGAAGGCTTTGGTGTTGTACTCGTTGGTGCCGTGCACTTGGAAGAGGCGGGTGGAGGGTGTGGGCTCTGTGCTGCCTGCCCGTGATGTGCCACCCTGGGGGACAGGGACAGGAGGTCACCACCGGTGCCACAAGCTCACTCACCTGCCCGTGCCCCAACGTCCCTGTGCTCACCGCGTACACCACCATCTTGCCCTTGAAGATGGCCATCAGATGGGCCGGCTCCTTGCCCATGGTGACGCGGATCTGCACGGGCTCGTTGTTGTACTTCTGGTCCAGGGCGACAGCTTGGTAGGCAGAGGCGGCCAGTTCATCTGTGCTGGCTTGGCGGCCCTGGGCAGGGCAGGGGGGGCTCAGCACCCATCACAGCCCCCCTTGCCCTCTTGAGAAGTTCTGTTCCCAAGAGGCAGAGCACCCCCAGTCCAGGGAGGTACACCCCTGTCCCCCACCCATGGGGCAGTGACCTGGAGGTCTCACCTGCCAGATGTAGATGATGCGGTTCACCTTGGGCCCCACAAAATAGGTGTAGAGCACCAAGTAGCAATCCCCGCCATAGAAATGGCCCAGCCACTTCTTCTCTACAGGCACCAGCTCATTGTCCTCCACACGCCAGACCTGGTGGGACAGGGATATTCTGCTGTCAGAGCTGGTGCATACTCCTGCCCTGCAGACCCTAGACCCCACACCATCCCCTGGTATAGCAAAGGGGGTACCTGAGAGGGTCATACATTCTTCCATGGCCACCCTACCTCCACTTCTCCAGATCCATCATCCACCATCTTCTGCTGGGCAGCCATCTGGGGCTTGGCATGCAGCGTGGTAGCGTCAAACTTCACCTGCTCCACCTTGGCTGTGGGGAAGGGCAGAGGGGTGAGCCAAATCCCTTCGGGCCACAGGAGCTCCCCACAGCCTGCCCATCCCAATCCAAGAAGTCCTTCCATGTTGGAAGGAGACACTCACCCACTTTGCCCACAGTGTGGGTCTTGCCCAACCCACTGCTCTGGTTGGGGACAGTCCATTTTTGAAAGAGTTGCCTGAAGATGGCTGACTCGGACCCATCATTCTCTGTTTCCACACTGGTGCTGTCTGGATAGTTCTTGGCTTTGATGAAGCCCTGGTGGGATCCAAACACAGAGTGTGGGCATGGAGTGCCTGGCACTCCAGGGAGCAGTCAGGCTATTGCATAACAAGCCCCTAACCCAGCACCCACCAGCGCCCTGCTCATCGCCTGCTGCTTCTCCTCCTTGTTGGCATTCTTGCCCTTCCAGACAAAGATCTTGATACCTCCTTGATCAAGGATGTAGCAGTCCTTGAAGAAGGAGGAACAACTGAAATTAGGACCTTAGACAAGTCCACCAAATTCAGCTTTTGAAGGATTAAAGCTGCCAAGGAAACTGGGCACCCCCAAGCATCCCATGGGTGACAGACCTCGTGCAGCAACATGTCTTGAGTTAGGGGTCGAACTGCCACCTCCTGTATGACCAGGTTTCCACTGGTGTTGGAGACACTGACAGGAGAAAAATAGATGAAAAAAGGCTTAGAAAGTGGGTTGGAAAACCCCATCTCCATTACAGGGTGGTAGGATTTAATGGGGTTGTCCCCTCCCCATCCCCTTCCCCAGCTGGATCACAACACAAGTAGCACCCCAGGACTCTCTGGCTGTGCCACAGTGGCAAACTGGTTTGTAGCTTGCCTTGCCAGGCAGCTCGTTCATGGGCCAAAAGGAGGAACAGAGGGGTGTCAGATGTTATGGGGCCACTGAGGCGCATTACCACAGCAACCAAAGGTGATGCTTGCACAAGCATCTCTATCGGGTACCAATCCTCTTGGTAACTGGGATTCCTCTTGCTCCAATGGCATGCAAAGGACTTATCCCTACCCCTGCTGTAGCTTTGACCCTTCTTGGTGTCTGTCCGTGGGGCTGGGAGTTGTGGGACATAGCAGAGATGGCTGCTGGCTCCCTCTGACACCACGGAAAATGCCCTGTGCATAACCCACCCCCTACAACTCACTGGTAGAGCTTGAGGGAGGATTTGAGTGCCTGGTCCACTTTGACATCAGGGATGGCTGGCTGGATGTCCCTCTTCTCACCCAGCACATGCTTAAGGACCTTCATGAGTCCTGGTGAGGCATCCTCATCCTCACCATCCACTACGCCCACCTTGGCACGGCCCCCGCGCTCCCGGTCCCGGATATCCTTGGCCAGGGTCATTGCCTGCAGCCAGGGGAGAAAGGATAAGCCCACATGAGAGAGGGAGTGGCTGGTGACCCCCCTTCCTCCAGGAGGGGACCTTGGGACCCCCTGACCATACCCTCAGCCTCTCGTTTCGGTTGCTCTCAGGGCCGTTCCACTGGATGATGAGCTGGCCCAGGTCCAGCAGGAATACGTCTCCTCTGTTAAAGCTTTTCCAGCTCATCTCCACCTGCAGCAGGACGGGATTGAGAAGGGTGGGTGTCAAGCAGCAGAATGCCTGGATCCCCATGTCTCTGCAGCCTCTCTCACTCAGGAAATATAGGCCTCCAGCCCATATTCCTCCTCCCTACCCCGAGAGGGGCTTTTTGGGGAGCAGTTGCAAGGCAAGGCAGCATCATCCCACACCCACTGTGTGCCCTGCTTGAAGGCAGCTGTGTCTGGGGGGAGCTCTGGCCTGATCCTGACCCAGACTCCACACATCCCACGACTCACCTCTCCTGCCACCACATTCTTCTTGCCCTTCACATGCAGCAGTCGCTGGACGTTGTAGGTGTTTGTCTCCACATGCTTCATGCCTGAGGCCACCCCACCCTTCTTATAGCTGGGAGGGGACAGACATGGTGTCAGCCCTGGGTCCCCCTCCTCACACCTCCGGTGTCTCCCTCCCACCTCTGTGCACAGGGCGGTGTTTGGGGTACACACACGTGGTAACACACAGATGGAGCCCAGCTCCAGATCCTCCTTCTTCCTCCCCCGCCTCACTGAGACAGAGCTGACCCCATCCCAACTGGGGATGTCTCCACAGGGCCCCTTCCCACTGTCACCCACCACAGGAACAGGTCCCCAGGGGTGACCGACATACACGAGTCCCTGCTTGAAGTAGGCACGGAAGGTGTCACTCTCGTGTCCCTGGGCCTCGCGGTGCTGCACGGCCACGGAGCCCAGGTGATCATCCATCTGGGTGGTGTAGATCGCCGCCGCCCCCTGCTCATCCTGGCTTGACTCCTTGCCCAGCCAGTAGTGGATGTCATAGCTGAAGTTGCTCCCGGACTTGCGTGTCTGCAGGACACCGATCCCCGCTAGAAGAGCCCCTGTGTCCCCAGGCCATGCTGGCCGCAGACATCCCTCCCTGCATCCAGCCCCAGTTCCCTATGTGACCCCTGACTGCCCTACCGACAGCAGGACGTAGCAATCCCCCTCGTAGAAGTTGCCGTAGCTTTTGGTGGGCACAGGCACCATCTCCATGTTCTGCAGAAGGAAGGGAGACATCAGCCCTGGTGGGGGAACCCCCAGCCCAGCCCCATGCACCCCACTGCCCCAGCACCAGGACCTGGATGCTGCACTGAGACCCAAACCCAGCTACTGAAGACACAAAGGGAGGATCTTCCCTCACAGAGACCCCCCCAAGGCAGCCCCAACGACGTGTCCCCATTCCCACCTCAATTCGCCATATCTGGATGCCAGGTGTGGTCTTGTTCAGGGTCCTGGAGACTTTGGCGCTGAGCTCCACCATGGTGACAGGTACCACCGGCAAGGGGACCTGCCAGCATTGGCAACACCCTCGTTAATGGCAGGCAGTGTCATTAAGAGCTGGGACACAGCCAACCTGCCGTGCCATCTGCTTCCCTGCTTGCTCTGCAGAAAGCCCAGCTGTAAACACCCCCTGTACAGAGCAGCACAGGGCAGGGGACCCCAGCACGGCGGTACCAGCTCTGTGGGCACCCAGCTGGGGCTGCCAACCCCTCAGCTTGGTTGGCACCGCAGATAATGAGTCCGTACCAGGGTCCAGGTTGGGAAGGTGCAGGGTCCCATAAGTGCCCCAGTGCCCAGCCCTGTCTCCAAGCATAGGGCAGTGCACACCCACAGTACAGCAGCTGTAGCTGGATGACACTGCTGCACGGTGGCCTGTTCCTCCTCAGGTCCAGCAGGAACTGGCCCTGTTCCAGGTCCAGCAGGAACAGGCCCTTGTCCTGGCACAGCTTGGCATGAAATGGAGCAGCATGACATGGCCACTGCTTACACACACAACACACGGATACACACACACTCACTGCCTGCTTCAGACTCCCTGCTTCCAAGCCCCCCAGCAGATCCATGCCCTGCCAGGGAGGGCACATCCTGGCTCCACAGGGGTGCTGAGTGCCAGTCCTGCCAAGGTTGTCCACAGCCATCTCTGCCAGGCTGACAGTGCTCCCCTCAAGCAGGCAGAGGGGCTGAGTCAGGCAAAGCCACCCTGTGCTCCCCGGCTGGCAGGGAGGGCTGGCATTGCCCAGATGGACGGTCTCTGCTTCCCAGCCCTGTGAAACCCCACCTGGCCCCCCTGTGCTGCCCCACAAGCGCCCACATGCCATACCTCAGTGCCAGGGGAAGCATCCCCCATAGCACAGCCCCAAGATGGGGCTCAGGTGAGTCCCCAAGCCCATCCCCAGGCTAACCTGGTGCCAGGAGTGATGGTGGCCATGGGACATGCTGTCCCCCCCCATGCCCACCGTTGTCCCCTCACCCTACCCCAACCCCTCACCTTCCCTGCAGAGCTGGGTGCACAGGTGAGCGTACCTTGGCGAAATGCTCAGGTGCCAGCACCCAGGAGACCTTTGTTCCCTTATGTCCCAGCCTTTGCTCACCATATAAGGGCAGGGACAGCCCAGAGTCAAGGTCCCCCCAGCCCTCCAAGACTCTGTGGCACCTAAGAGCCCCGTTACTCATGGGGTGTTTCCCCCCAGACGCTATTGCACTCTGCCCACAGGCTGGCTGTGCCCAGGGTGGTTCCTCTGCCATCCCCAGGCCTCCTCCCCTCTTGGCCCCTGGTACTGAGTCCATGCTAAATGTTTTGCTTTTGCACTCCACCAAGAAGTTCCATAAAGTGATAGCAATGGGCTGGACCAGGACACGTGGGCACCAGCCACAAACAGAGGTGCCTTGATGCCATGGGGATGGCCACTGTTCTTCATTCCCCAGACCCTAAAATCCCCAAACCCTCCCAGACATGGAGCACTAAGACCATGGAAATGGGTTTTTTTGGTGCCTTCTCCCCCAAAAAAGGTTCCATGAAGTGACAGCAATGCAGCACCATCTTCCTGGGGCATCCCTGTCCCACCCCCTGACTGGCACATCACCACCCTGACCACGGGACTGTCCCCAGGCTGTTTCACACCCCAGCTGGAAGCCAGATCCCTGGTCACTCCTGGCTTTGCCTCCCTGCCTTGGGAGTCTCCACAGCCCCAAGATCCTCTTGGGGATGGAAAGGGGGTACAGAGATGGGACATGGGGCTGAGACATGGGGAGACAGGACAGGACATGAAGTGGTGGCACAGTTAAGCCCGATGCCCCCGGAACCCAGTCCCAAGGGTTGGTATCTGATGATGCCCTTGATGCTGGCAGAGAGAAAGGACTGAAGTGGCTCCCACTCCCAAAGGTGGCCTTAGGGAACAACTGCGGTGTCCACAAAGGTGGGAGAGGCAGGTGCCAGCAGCAGGCAGGTCCCCAGGCCTCCTGCCCTGCTGTTAAGTGCTCCCCAGCCCTGTGGGATTGCTGCAGCTTTATCTTGGCTGCCCTGCTGAGCCAGCAGTCCTGGCCTGGGCTGCAGCAAGCCCCAAATCCTGCCTGACGGTGCCCCCTCCCTGCAAGGATCCCCAAAGTGATGAGACGGGCTGAACCAGAGCAGGGGGCATGTCAGACACAAACAAGTGGGTGTCCTGATGCCACAGGGCTGGGCTCTATCTGCCCCACACTCCCTTGGCCCCCAAACCCTCCAAACCCTGCCATCGAGCTCCTACCTCCTGCACCCCACACGAGTGTCCCCGTGGGACCCTTACCTGGCTGCAGAACCCCCAGTGGGGCTGAGTTTGGGGTGGGGTGGAGCACCCGGGTGGGTGGCCGCTGTCGCCCTCTGCTCAGTGGCCGTCCCAGGGCAGTCTGTCAGTGTGGCACAGGGGTAGGGGACCCCTCGCAGGCCCCAGCGGGCTCACCCCTCTCTGGGCCCCCCAGCCGGGCCACTAATGAACTCAGTAATTAGTGCAGCCATCAGGGAGGACAGAGATTTCATTAATGAGGGGAGGCACAGGGCCAATGAGGGCACGGGGGAGGGGGCAGCTAAGAGACATTCCCCCCAGGAACGCAGTGCCTGCACGCTGGCAGCACTGCCCGGGACAGCAGGGAGGGGGCCACAAGTTGTCCCCCAGGTTCCCCCCAGTCGATATGGGGAAGGCCTGACGCCTTATTTAGAGCAAACCCATTTTGCTGGGAGGGGGGCAGAGCCCATGTGATAAATTCACCCCCTCCTTGTTGAGGGGCAGGACACCCATCCCTGTGGCACCAGGGGCCTTTTCCCAGGAAGGGGAGGAGGGAGTTTGGATGGAGGTGCCAGGGCAGCCTGGGGGGGCTGTCCTCCAGTGTGAGGGTGTCCCCTTGGCACCGGGCTAGGGGTGGCACCTCAACCCTGCAGTCCAAGGGTGCTTCTCTGGCACGGACCTGCAGCATCCCTGATGCCCAGGGGACTCGGGGGATCCCGGGGGGCTCCGTGTCCCCCCCACTGTGCACAGCCCTAGAGACACACACGTGATGTGGACCCGTGCCCACACACGCACACACTCAGGACTACTCTTTCCAAGATGTTTTGACAGCTTTAATCACATGAAGGCACTTGGATCTGGTACCCCAGCCCTCCCCAGCCCCCCGCGCTGCCTCTGCATCCCCCAGAGCTCCCAAGGGTGCCCAGGGCAGGGCCGTACTCCTCGGGTGCCGCAGCACCCACAGGCACTCGCTGGGCAGCGGCAGTGCTGGCGCCCTTTGACTTGTCTAATATAAAGTGCTGAGTTCAACCCTCCCGGCAGGGCAGGATGAGGCCTGGGGCTGGCAGGGATCCAGGGAGCTGTGCTGCACCAGCCCCCAGCACAGGGCAGCGGGTGTGGGTGGGCTGGGGGACCCTGGCTTACCCCCGGGAGCAGGGCAGTGCCGGCAGGAGCCGGCTGAACAGCACCAGAAAGCTAAAACCCTTCACACCCACCCCCCCAGATACTGCCCCGCTCCCTCACTCCCTTTGCTGGCACAGCGGTAAAAAGGCACCCATGATTTTTTGGGAAACCATTGCTTTTCCCTCTAAAAATATATGAGGCATTGTCCATATTGTGACATTAAAAAAGGCCTGGCTGAGCTCAGCCCCCTCAGAAAAACCCTCCCTGAGAGCCCCCAGACCCTCGAAGCTGGGGGACACCCTGGCACAAGTCCAACCCCACGGGGCTCAGGGTAACCCCAGGCTATAGGGGAGGCTGCGGTGTCCCCCACGCCCTCCCAGCTGGGGGACTGGGGTGGGGTAAGGCTGGGAGGGGCACATTAAGGCTGGTGTGGGGGTCCCTCTCTCCTAGGACTAGCAGCCTTTGGTGAAGCTGCAGACGGATATGGAGTGGAGGGCGTGAGGGTGTGCTCCCCCACCACGGGAGGGGACCCTTCTGGTGGTGACCAGAGTGGCTCCCAGTGACACAGTATAACTGGAGAGGGGGGGAGGCCACCTCCCCCCCAACATGAGAAGAAACCGAAGTTGGAGGGGGCGAGGAAACCCCCCCCCCCCCCCCCAAGGCACACCCCTTGCAAGGCTAAGGGGGAACAGAGACACGGCGTCCCAAGGCACGTGGGAGGCATTTGTGCCCAGGGGCTCAGCCCTGAGGCTGGGCTGCCCCTGCAAAACACAGCCCCTAGGTGGGGGCAGCAGGCATGAAGAGAGGCAAGGACATGCCCCCCACGAGGTGGTCAGCTGCACCCAGGGCAGAGCTATGGGTATGGTGGCAGCCCTATGCACCAAGGCCAGCAAGACTCCCTGCGTTTTTGGAGGCTGACAAGGTGTCACCTGTCCTGCAGCCTCGGCAGATAGAGCCAAGGGCTGCCAGCCTCCCAGCAGGCAGAGTCCGGATGGAGGGATCCAGTCCTCCCAAAGGCAGTGGAAAGCAGCAACTGCTGACCCCACCCCCCCTCCCCAATCGGGGGACGGAGGGGAAAAGGACCTGAGAACCGTTTTGTGGAGGGGGGACACAGGTTAGGGGGGAGGCAGGAGCTGGACAGTGGGGGAGGATGGGACCCCCTCAATAGGTCCTCAGCCCAGCAAGGCAGTGGGTCACCCATGGCCCCTCTTCTCTGAGAAAGGGGGCACCCAGCTTCCTGGGGGGGCACCCACATCTCCCATCACCGGCAGGCACGGAGGGCACCCACACCCACCGGGGCTGGGGAGGATGATGCGGGGCACACCGGGACCCTCCCTCCCCCAAAATAAGGCACCTGGCTCCCCCGGTGGTGCCCCTTGGCAGCACCCGGAGGGCGGGGGGGCCATTAGCTGTTAGTCCGCTGCTTCTTGAGCACTGCATACACGTCCTCCACCTTGCTGAGTCTCTCAAAGAAGGGCAGTAGGTCCAGCAGCTCCGTGTCTGCCATGTTATCGAACCAGGAGGCCACCGGCACCTGCAGGTGGCACAGGGGACAGAGTGGCACAGGGGACAACGCTGAGAGAGGGTCCCCCACCGCATCACCTCCACACGCCGCCCAGCCTCGCCCCGCGCGTACGTACGGCGTTGTCAGGGTGGAAGATGTAGGATGCGGGCGAGTTGTCCACGATGATGATTCGGCGCAGGTCGCGGCCCAGGCGGCTCAGGTCCTTCACGTAGTTGCCGCGATGAAAAACACAGGATTCCCGGAAAAGCCGTGCCCGGAAAGCCCCCCATTTATCCAGCAGATCGGCCACAGGGTCCGCATACTACGGGCACAGGAGGGGGATCACTATGGCACACCACACCACCCTGCCCATTGCACAGTGACAATGGCACCCAGCTCTCCACTGCTGCCACTGTGCCTCAGTTTCCCTGGCCAGTGCCTTGGAGGGGCAGGTAGAGTCTGCCCAGCGCTGGTGCTGCCTGTGGGTACACAGGGGACAAGAGGCCAGTGATGCCTGCAGGTGGGCATGCAAGGGAGCTGTGCCACTCTAGGGGTGCCTGGGAAGGGCTGGGCGATGCCAGGGCAGGTCAGGGGCACCCACCTTGGCCAGGCTGGCAGTGAAGAGCACACACTCGAAGAGCTCGCCCATGCGCTTCAGGAACTCGTCCACGTGCGGCCGCTTGAGCACGTACACCTGCGGGCACGGACGGAGGGCAGCGTGCTGCTGGCACCGGTCACGGCTCACCCAGCGCCTCCATGTCCTCCCCAGGGGACGCCTGTGACCCCCACACCCCGCCAGCGAGCAGCTCCCTGGCCACAGGTCTCAGGAGCTGCCTGTGTGGGGTGGGGGATGCCATAGCCCCGCAGGAATGTCCAGGGTGAAGTGTCTGGCCGGCTCCAGAGCCAAGTAACCGAGAACAGGCTGACTGCCCAGACCACAGCCTATCCTGGATTACTTGAAACTGGGGCTGGCCACTGCAGGAGGGCAGCATGCCAGGACACCCCTCACCTCCTTGCCCTGCAAAGAGAGGGGCACCCACCTCTGCCCTGCAACGTGCCAAAGCTGGCACCCTGATGCTCCCATTACCCCTTGGTGCAGAGCACTGGGATGGCTCCCGGTCCTCGGGGAGGTGGAATGGTGCCCCCCTCCCACCAGGCACCCACCCCGCGGTTACCTGGTGCATGATGCCATCGATTTCCACGGGAATGATGAAGTCGGCGTTGTTCACTGGCTGGGGAAGGGCACACCAGGATGAGCACTGGGCACGCCAGGCACCCCCTGCCCAAATGCTGCCTGCTCTATGCTCACTATGCACCCCTGCCAGCCCCGCAGCCCCCTCACAGGGACACCCCAACTGACCCAGCCAGGCTGTGCCCGGTGCTGGGCATCGCTTTGTGGGAAAAGGGTGGCAGAGAAGGTGGGGGAGCATGTGGGGGAGAGGTGTGGGGTGGGCCAGGGTGTCCCCCACCTTGAAGGAGCTGTGCACCAGGGTCTCATCCAGGTCGATGACCACGCAGAGCTTGCTGGCATCCTGTGGCTTGATCTCGGGCAGCAGGTGCTTGACAGCAGCCTGCAGCAGGGGGACACGGGTCAGCAGGGTATCCACAGGCAGGCCAGAGGGGGCACTGCCAGAAGCGACTGTTCACCCCCAGTCCCGGCCCCACAGGGGAGGCGCAGGGGATGGTAACCCATCGATCCAGGCTGGGGTGTGGGGTTACCTTGGGCAGTGCCCCGTTCTCCTCCACCAGCAGCGGTGCGCCAGTGGCGCCAGCGCAGGGCTCCCCTTCATCGCGGCACAGGCAGCAGAAGAGGGACTGGAGAATGCTGCGGCTTCGAGGCTTCTTGGCAGGGGTCTGGGTACCTGTGGGAGGGCATAAGGGGATGAGGGGTAACCCGGGGGTACTCCCAGCACAGAATTGGGGGCCAGGTGAGCCATGTTTGGGTGTTGCCCCAGAGCCCCCGTGCCCTTATCAGAGCCGGACACCCATCCGGTCGGCCTTCCTGCCTGCCAACCCACGGTGCCAGGGCAGCGTCGCTGACACGAGCGCTTGGTGACCACCCACAGCCCCTCATCGGCACACCCCACTCCACGAGTGACCCCCGTGGGCCCCCCTGCGTGCCCGGAGACCCCAGCCCGGGGGCAGCCGTGGGCCCGGGGGCAGCCGTGGGCCCGGGGGCAGCCGTGGGCCCGGGGCCGGTCCCCGCGGTCCCGCCCCGGGGGCACTGCCCCACTCGGGGGGCGGGGTCTCTCCGAGGGGGCGGGGCTTACGCCGTTCTTTTCCCCGCCTCCAGACAACTCCCTCGTCTCATTGGCCGGCTCGAGTGCACCGGAGGCGAGAGGCCAATCAGAACGAAGCGCCCGCCCCTGGGCGCCGTTCCCGCAATCCCCATTGGCGGAGCGAAGGGAAACTGAGGCAGAGAGGTTGACCCTGCCCACCCCATGCCCCAGGGGCAGCGCGACGGTTCCAGCGGCCCCACCGGTCCCGGGGCCGAGTCCTGCCGCAGCCCGGCCCGGGGCTGCACCCCGCCCTGCCTGTGCCCCCCTTCCGGCGGGCCAGGGCCCGGAGCCCTGTAGTGGGCAGGAGCTCTCCACTGGGGACGGGGCTCGTTCCCACGTTTGCTCCTCCCGGCCCTGGCAGCTTCCCAGGCCAGGGAGACGAGCATCGGCCCCCGACAAACCCCCTTCGCGGGGTGGAGGGGACGCCGGCATGCAGGAGGGCGCTCGGCTCCCTTCCTGCCTCAGTTTCCCCGCCGGCGCTGCGCGCACCTCTCGCCCGGCTCCAAAGGAAACAGCGCAAATAATCCGAGCGACGCCCCGAGCCTTCCAGGGCTCCGAGGGCCCGGAGCGGGTGCAGACAGCCCCGCTCGCTCCGAGCTGCAGCCCCAGCGCATCTCCGCAGCCCTCGGCAGCGGGATGCAAGGGGCCGGGCTGAGGCGGCGCGCAGCTCATCACACCCTCCGGGAGCTGCCCCCGCAGGCCCCCAACCCCCCGGGGACCTCCCCCTCTGCCGCACAGGAAGGGGGTGAGGCGGGGTGAGATTTCCCCCCCCTCCGCGTTACCTTTCTCCTGAAGCGGGGCGCTCCCCTCCTCCCTGCTAACCTGGGC